TCGTGACGTAGACGTAAAGTTCAAAATGGCGATGCGGTATTGTCCTTGGCGGCTTCACGATGGATGAAATAGGCTACGTTCAACCGAGATATTGAAAATAAACTTGAGAAAAGTCGCACTAATGTTCGTAGATATAATCCGCGGCTCGAAAGGACCAAAAATCCGGCTCGAAGGACCAAAAATGTGCGGTGTTATTATAATAAAGAGTAAAAGGTCGAGGGTTTTGGTATAAAAGAGGTTTAATTTATGAGAGAAATAATGAGTACGTGTTGTTATGAGAGGTGATTCGCGATGAATGAATGCAACAATGAAAATTGACATATGGTAATGTGATGGGAATTACAGATAGACTGTTAAAAACAAAGACAGATAAAATTAATACAAAAAACAAAAGCAACTTGACTGAACAGTGTAGTAGACTCTATATTCGGAAGAGAATAAGAGAGATTCAGCTTGATGCAGCTGACATACATTCATTAGATTTTAGTGAAAAAAATGAAAACATTCAAGAACTAGATAAACTGATGATTCAATACGAAGACATTTTCAAAGAAGGCATTGGGAAAATACCAAACAAAAAGGGCCATTTTAATGTAAAAGACAAAACCCAGCCAATTTACATCAAACCAAGACACATGCCATATGCATTACAAGAAAAAGTAGAGAAAGAACTTGAACGACTGGAAACTTTGGGTATAATCACACAAGTTGAATCATCTGATTGGGGCACACCAATTGTTCCGGTCGTCAAACCAAATGGTTCAGTCAGAATATGCGCTGATTACAAGGTGACATTGAACAAAGTCATCAAAGATGAACCCTACCCTATACCTCGGATCGATGATATCATGTCAAAGATGCATTGTGGAAAGATATTTTGTACTCTTGATATCAGTAATGCATACTTGCACCTGGAGATGGACGAAAACAGTGCCATAATGCAAACAATCAGTAAGGGCTGTTTAAGGTGAACCGATTAATGTTTGGAGTAAAAGTGGCACCCTTGTTATGGCAGAGATTCATGGACAAAACATTACATGGCTTAGAGGGTGTACAATGTTTCTTCGACGATGTCATTGTCCAAGAATCTAACCGGGAACAGCTTCTTCGCCGACTGAAACAGGTGTTCGAACGACTGAAGACAAACGATTTGAGGCTAAATAGAGACAAATGCAAGTTTTTCCAGACGAAAATTGAGTATTTAGGTCATGTGATCGATAGCAAACGGCTACATAAGTCAGATACCAAGATACAGAGAATTCTGAAATGTAAAAGGCCAGAAAACGTTTTTGAACTCCGAACTTTCCTGGGCCTAGCAAATTATTACAACAAATTCATAAAGAATTTGGCAACACTACTACATCCTTTGAACCTACTGCTACAAAAAGGAAACCCTTTCAATTAAAATTCATCTTGTGAAAAGAGTTTTCAGAAGATTAAGGAAATTATCACAAGTGACGACGTTTTGGTTCACTTTGATCCTAGCTTACCTCTGGTCTTAGCTACCGATGCTTCACCGGTGTGGGAGCCGTTCTGTCTCACCGCTATAGCAATGGAACAGACAGACCAATTGCCTTCGCCTCTCGATCTTTAACAAAATCAGAACAAAAATACTCTCAAATCGACAAGGAAGCCTTGGTAATATATTGGGGCCTGAAAAAGTTTTTCCCATTTTGTTATGGCCGCAAGTTTACTTTGATTACAGACCACAAACCGCTAGTGTCAATATTTAATCCAGCAAAGACCTTACCAACAATCTCGGCAACACGGATATTCAACTATGCTCACTTTCTCTCCGGGTTCAACTATGACATAGAGTACAGGCAAACTGCTCATCATAGCAATGCAGATTATCTCTCATGTTTCCCTACCGAAGTTGTACAACAAAATGCTATAGATGACCTCTCTATGTACCACATAAACCAACTAGAAACACTCAATGTCAACAGTACCGTTGTGGCTAAGGAAACTCTCAACGATTCTGTGTTGGGTCCAGTCCTACAGGCCTTAAAATCAGGACAATCTGTCGAACAATATGGATTTCACAATAACGCGCTGTCCATTCAAGATGATTGTGTACTGAAGGGCTGGAGAGTCATGATACCTCAAACCTCACGTGCTTCGAGAATTACACGTAGCTCATTTAGGAGAAATAAAAATGAAGGCTTTAGCTAGCAGTTTTTGCTGGTGGAAAAGTATAGACAAGGATATTGAACAGATGGTGGCTGAATGTCGACAATGCATTGAACAATGCAACAACCCGAGAAAAACTATCCATCCATGGGAACAACCTACTAATCCATGGGAGAGAGTGCACATTGATTTCTTAGGACCAACAGATGGCCAACAGTACCTCATATTAGTGGATGCTTTTAGTAAGTGGGTGGAGGTGATACAGACAAGAACAACTACAAGTACATGGACAGTCCAAGAATTACGGAAAATCTTTTCAACTTTTGGGTTCCCTCAAATCTTAGTTTCAGATAATGGAAGACAGTTTGTTTCCCAAGAGTTCAAAAACTTCACGAATGAATGTGGGATTGTTCACAGAACAACGGCACCATTTCACCCAAACTCAAACGGCCAGGCTGAAAGATACGTGTAGACTGTCAAGAAGGCGTTAAAATCCATGGAGGGAGAAAAGGGTACACTGCTAAACAAAATCCAAAGACTTGTAATGCAACTCAGGCAATCCCCGAATTCAACTGGTACATCAGCATTTGTTTGGAAGGAGTGTACGAACAAACCTAGCAATAATTGTTCCAACATTAGAACCGAACAAATATCAGAAAAAGGGACTCCAAGTCGGTATTAAAAGGAATTTCAAAGTTGGAGATAAGGTTCAAGCGGGGGAATATGTCAATGGATCATCCAAGTGGTACTCGGGCTATATAACTAAAAAGCAAGGACATGTAATGTACGTAGTTCAACTGGAAGATGGGCGAATAATTAGAAGACATGTTGATCAGCTGATTCTTCGTAGAGTGCCGCAGCACAGTAAATAGAGGAGGAGGTGTTAACATATATTTTATTTAAATTTTATTTCTAACATGTGTTCAAATTATTCTTTTGTTTACTTGTTGAATTGTCTATTTTTACTTACAGATTGTGATTTAATAAAAACTTACTTTCTATTTTCTTATACAAAATGTGAACTTTTATTAGTAAAATTAGTGGAATCAACATCTATGATTTTCAACAGCATTAAAGTTACAAGGATTACCAACAGGGTGCAGCACTATTATTTTTTTAAATTTATGACACAGCTTATTTGCAACCAAAAGGTGAGCGGAGCGAACGAACTTCAACCTGGAGGTGAGTTAGCGTAGCGAACGAGCTAACCTGAAGGCAAGTGAGCGCAGCGAACGAGCTCCAACCTAAAGGTGAGTGAGCGTAGCGAACGAACTTCAACCACGACGTGATTGAGCCATGCGAACGAGCTCATCTTGAAAATTAAGAAGCTAAACGGGGCAAAGCCCGCGGGTACAGCTAGTGTATTATATATGTACAAGTTTCATTTCTTTACGATAACTGTACGCCGAAATATCGATGTCGTAACTTTAGGAAAGAAGCCAAATTATGGGTCCCGCACTACGGGCTAGGTACGATTACAAGACCTCGGGATCTCGTAGTGCAGTGAACGTGTTAATAAATACCCAGGATAAATGCATTTATTGAAAAGGAAATATTAATTATTTATTGTCGTATGTTGTTTAATATTTAAATTTTTCTGAAGGTAAAATTTTGTTCAATGCTCTTTTGAAGTTAGCCTATTTGAATGATAAAAGAAATGACTGTAAGTTAGTAGGCTAGATGGGTAACAAAATCATTTACAGTTTTTTTTTAGTTTTTTATTCTTGTTAATGTGTTGTTGTTGTTTATTTAAATTGTTATTACAGCTCGTTTCTCTCAAATTACGCGTTGTTCTTGAACCTTCCTCCACAGTTTTTCCTGTTGTTGTAAAGTTTGTGAGCCGCTCCTTGGGCCTGCACATGGAATCACGCTTCCAAGTCGTTAGCCTGGGTGCAGGCACGAGGGCGTGGTTCAGTAAAACTAACAATAATAAGTTGGCAGTTAGAAAAGTTTAATCCGTTAAAAGTTCTTCATCAAAAGCAAAATACGGTGCAACACATAATGTGGGACTGTAGGCCATCTGCGCATGTGCAAGCTGAGGTGCCCGTGGGTACACAATGTCGAGTCGCATACGCTACGATTCTATGTTAACATCTACGTTGTTATCTCGTAACCATCATGGCAACCCATAAGACTAATGTTAAACATTGCAAATTTTATATCAGTCTAAAAGTGTAGGTACAGGTATTATCAAATTGAAATTTGTTTGTTTAGTAACATCAAGAATATTTGTTGAAATACCCCTGGTAAGTTTGGATTCAATATGTTCAGCCGTTATTGAGTTAATTGATTACATAGTTTGAATAAGGTCCGATCTCAAAGAGCTTCGCTCGCTCCGCTCAAAAATACTAAACTCATGTAGCCAAAACACAAAGATGGTCGGTCCGCATATCTAGAAATGGCTTATTCACTTCCCTGAATTCTTCTCGGGCTACGCCCTCTGGACGTTCAAAGTTTTGAGGTGAGGTTTTCAAAAGTAAAAATTGATTGGTCTCCATGGAAGCATGAGAAAACTGACAATGATAACCTTTGCGTTGACGTTGACATTAAGTAAACAAGCAGAACTGCCAAATGATTATTTCACAATTTCAGACAGGTGGTCCAAACAAATTAAATTTAGTTTATACACAACTATGTGGTAGGTTTGTTTATTCTAACACTTTGTCATTGATTATTTATTCTAAAACTATGCAGTTGATTATGGAAATAAAAAAGAATCTATAACCATTGCTCTATCAACCCAGAGATAGTTTTAACTATCAAGATATGTTATGATGTTAAGGGGACACCTGTTCTTCAAAACAGAATTTTCTTCCCGTTACGGAGCACGGGTACAGCAGCTAGTAAAATTATAAAGTCTCAAATACCTTCCCAAACAAGGTTTTGTACATCTCAGCAATCTCGAGCCGCTGTACAATGGATCGTCTGCCAAGGATGTCAATGATACTTTGCTCATCTGTCCCAAACCCTTTCATGGCTGCTTTGAGTGCCTCAGCATCAGCGTTAGGGTCGAAGGGATCCGCCGGAAACACAGTCGGGGTGCACTGAAAAACAAAAATAATGTACTTTGGTCCAGTTTGTCTAAGACTATCTTAACAATTCTTGAAAGAATTCTTATTGTAGCTATACAAATGCTGATCTTTTCAAACCTTTTTTAAGTTCAGTAATTTCTTTTGATTTGTGGGAGAAGAAAATATGATATAGTATAGGCCTATTGTAAGTTTAAAACTATAAACTACAAACTAAAACCTAAAAGTTTAGAGATAAATAAGTTTATAGAAATAGAGGTCTTATTAAATAAATGAAAAATTAATAAAAATACACTAAGTTATCCATGAAATAATAGTATCCAGAAGATACAATACATAAATAAATAATAAATAAATAAAATAAAAACGTCTTTATTAGCCAGCGTTTCTCTGATACATGTCAGTTTTTCAGAACAACTTTTGTCATTAACCTATTCACTTACAACTAAACATTCATATCTTTTAAAAACTTTTTAATCTTAATCTTAAAGGTATTGTTGGATGCAACGGTTTTTAGGCTCTCGGGTAGTCCGTTGTACAATGTGGGTCCGAAATATGAGAAACTTTTCTTTCCCAATTCCAAGGTGACCCTTGGAAAGTGAAGCCTCCCACCATGACGTGTCCTACGTTGTATGACCTCATCCCGGACAGAAAGCCTCTCGCAAAGATAGTCGGGCTCACGGAGAGTCAGTACCCTGTGAGTCATGCAGCACGTCAAAAACCTGCACATGGCTTCCATGGGCAACATCCCGGCTGCTTCACGGAAAGGGGAAACATGATCAAATTTTTTAAGGCAGAATACAAATCTGATTGCTGAGCTTTGGATTCGCTGTATTCTGCACATGTCTTCCTTAGTGATACTATTGCCATATGCAGGGAAGCAGTAGTAGACTACTGACAATATCAGTGACTGCATGAGTTGAAGCTTTGCAGCCTCAGGCAGCATACCTCTGAACCTGTACAGACCTCTCAGTCTTCCTATTGCTCGTTGGGAGACATGCGTGATGTGATCTTTAAAATTCAAATTTCTGTCAATAATGACGCCAAGAGTTTTGGCTTTGTCACAGACTGCCAGACTCCTGCCATCAAGATTGATGCTCAAGCCATTATCTCTCAGTGTCTGTACTAGGTTCACAGGGGCAGTATGAAGTACAGTGCACTTGTCTGGATTCAGCCTAAGCCCATTAATGCTAGACCATTTGGAGATGTTCTCCAGATCAGTGTTGATCTTGTCGATGGCCTCATTCATGTAACCAGGCTCATAAGACAAGTGCAACTGGGAATCATCTGCATACAAGTGTGCAGTACAATGTTTTACACAGCTGGGAAAGTCAGCTGTGTAAAGCGTGTAAAGTACAGGCCCCAAACAGCTACCTTGAGGAACGCCCCGTTTTTTGACGAGGGGATACGATGTTTCACTACCCAATCTGGTAACCTGCATTCGGTCGATAAGGTAAGAGCGAATCCAGGTAGTGATTCTATCACTAAAACCCATATATTTCATTTTTGCAATCAGCATACTATGGTCCATAGAATCAAATGCTTTGGAGTAATCAAGCATGACAAGTGTGCTATGTTTCCCTTTGTCCTTGGCATCAATCATGTCACAGAATAAATTGGTCAAAGCTGTACATGTGCTGTGGTTTTTTCTAAAACCTGACTGTAGTTTAGGTAGCAGCCTATTGTCATTCATAAATTGGGATATCTGGTCAATCACTATTTTCTCTAATATTTTAGATATTGCTGGAAGTATTGATATTGGTCTAAGATCTTCTACCTTAGTTGGTGCAGCTGTTTTTGGCAATGGCCTGACAATACTTTGCTTCCATGCATTCGGGAATACTCCACTGATGAGTGACTCATTTACAAGATGTGTGATTGCTTCAATAGCAAACGGACTCACAGCTTTTAACATGTCTATTGATATCTCATCACTGCCTACAGCTTTAGACTTTATTTGATTCATCACTACTTTTACAGTTGCTTCGGTGACAGCACTAAATCGACATTCGCTTCTTGTTTCATCTTGTTTATTAGTCATATAAAATTTAATAATTTCTTCATCAGCCTTGATACCAGACCCCATTTTTGTAAAATATTCATTAATGTCATCAGCTTCAAAACCGTCAATAGTTTCTATACAATTGTTCTTATAAACTTCGCAATTCTTTATACATTTCCAGAAATCTTTGCTGTTGTTTGTTGTCGAAAGTTTGTTGGTAAAAAACCTTTTTTTCGCATGCCAGACCATTGAATTCAATCTGTTTCTTATTTCCTTATACTTATGCCAATCAGGATCACTTCTTGACTTCCAATATCTATTCCTTAATTTATTTTTTTCCCTCGTCAGTTTCTTAATTATATCATTTCTCCACGGAGCTACTTTCTTGGTTACCCTTTTACACACTATAGGTGCGTGGTTATCATATACTTTTCTAATTTCATTGGTCAATGCATTTTCAATATTATTTACTCCTTGTAAGATTGTTATCTTTTTCCAATCTATTTCAGAAAGTTCTCTTACCGCTTGGTCAACATTGAATTTTGAAAAATCCCTATATCTGATCATCTTTGGTTTCTTTTGTTCTTTTCTTAGGATCAATTCACAAAAAATAAGCTTGTGGTCCGTAATTGACTTCCCTCTGTGATCTAATATGCTAGGTGCATTTATAACGCCGATCCTCTTGACTTCAACCGACCTGTCCACGAATATGTGGTCTAACAAGGTGGCTGAAGTTGCTGTCACCCTCGTAGGCTCGTTTATTAACTGGATTGTATTTGATTCTCTCAAGAGTCGGCATAAATATTTAGAATCACTACTTGTTTTTGACATAAGATCAACGTTTGTGTCACCCAGACAGATCACAGAGTCGACTTCAACTGCTAAGTCAACAAATAGGGAGTGAAACAAAGAATCAAGGTTAGTGTATCGTACATTGGGAGGCCTGTATACTACACACAGACCCAGTCTCTGGCTTTTTAGCCTGAGGACAACAGAAAGTGTTTCTATACCAGGTGGAAGGTTGGCTGGAAAAATATGTTGGTCATACATAATTCCTTCCCTGATGTATAAAGCAATGCCCCCACCGGCTTCCTCCTCCTCAAATAAGCCAGAAATGTGGTGGCGATCAGAGCGCAACAAACTGTATCCTGGTATATTGAAGTTGTCTGAGGGAGTGTCAGGGTGAAGCCAGGTCTCTGTCACACCAAAAATGTCAAAATTTAAATCAAGGACAAGTTCACACATTTCAGTGAATCCAGTGTTCAAAGAGCGTATGTTTAGGTGACCAATTCTGACATTGCCCACACCTCCCCCTCCGACTAGTTTTCCGACACAGTGACAACACTCTGACTGCCGCCATGGCCACAGTCAGTTGCAGCCACCGCGTCATGGCCCAGTACAGGAGAAAGCGGGGTAGGCATTAAGTTGACATCACCCTGACCAGAGACATGTGGGTCATTCTGAGACTGCAAAAGGGTCCCAATCACATCCATGAGCAAATGCCCGAGGCGAGAAACAGCTCGTCGGCTGAAGTGCACTCCATCACGGGCCAGATCCCCTCTGCCAACACACGTGTTAGCCTCCACGAATGTAACACCGAAGTTGTTACACATTAGCTCAACCTGGGTGTTAAAGTCGTGGAGTGCTCTATAACTAACGTCTCGCCTAATCAGAACACTGTTCAGAACTAATTTTGAATTTGGAAAGTGTGTTCTGGCAGAGTACAAAAGGTCAGCCATGCTGTGGAGAGCCTCACGTTTCCCATGACCCCCATTGTACCCCGGGCCCCCCCGATAGCCACGTCTGAGATTGTTGCATCCAACATGAAAATATATCACAGACAAACTTACACCTAAATAACCTAACAATACATTCTTAATGTGTAAAATCTTTCCCCCTGGACAGCATTCAACATATGCCCCCTTCTCTATGCACATATTTGTTGAGTACCTTAAGTGTGAGTCCCCAATTACAAGTACATTTCTTAATGTCTTGTGTTGTCCGTCCGGCTTCTCCTCCGACTTAGGTGCAGGTGAAGTGTCACAGTGTGGAGTAGTAGGCCGAGGAGGTGTGCAGGGAGCAGCAGAGCAAGCAGGGGTAACAGTGCGGAGTGAAGCTGGGGTAACAGTGTGGAGTGAAGGCTCTTGTTTCTCCGCAGCTGATAGCTCCGCTAGCAGGCTCATGTCGGATGAAGATCTTCTCTGCCTTGCACGACTCTCAGCTCTTCTCAGTTCTCCCCTCAAGCATTTTATCTCTGCCTCCAACACTTCTATTGAAGTCATCAAGCGCTGGCGGTCAGCGGTCAGGTCAGCTACTTTCTGTTGACTTTCCAGCAAGATGCCTTCATGGTCCACATTTGACTCTGCCCTCTTCTTCAGCTGTTTATTTTCGGCCTTGATCTTCTCTAGGTCAGCGGTCAGACTACCGATGTCAGCATCAAGTTGATCCTCCAACTCACAACAAACCATGGATTTTTCTTTAAAACTTTTGTTTAAGTCCATACAACGACTTTCAGCCATGCTCAGTTGATCTTGCAGCTGATTAATTTCTCTGAGAGCTTCTTCGTTGGACTTACACACGTTGTTGAGTTTTTCCATTAAGCTGGTCACATGCGGAATCAATTTTTCTACCGAGTCCTCACCAAAAGTAGCAATGGTTGATCTCAGCTCAGCATAAAAACCTGAAGCAAGGTCAATAACTTCCTGATCGATAAAAAATAATCCATCTGTGAGATTCAACAAGTCTTTAGAACGTGTGATTACAGGCATTTTACTTTTGGTTTTGTTTTTAAATTAGAATAGTGAGAATAATAAGTAACAAGTATAAATAATGGATAACTAGGAAATAAATAAATAAATAATACATGAATAAATTACTAATGACTAATAACAACAATAACTAATACCTAATAAATAAAAACGTATACCAATTTAATCAACAGTAACAATCACAATAAATAGCATAACAATTAATAATAAACAATTTTTTTATTTACAGTAAAAATTTTAAATAG